GTTGGTCTGGGTGAGAAGGATCAGGAAGCAGTATTGGTTCTCCAGGTGTCTGGGGCCCCAAGACTAGGGATGGCGCAGGTCCCAAACTAGGAGTAGCGAACAGCAGGGGAGATGGAAGGATGAATGTGGCTTGGGGAGTCAAGGTGCAGAGGGCTGCGCTATAGACTTACTCCAAGAGGCCTTAGGATTGGAGTGCAGGCTAGGAGAGTTAGCCGGTGGTGCAGGTCCAGGGATGCAGAGAGAGGTGAGGGCGGGGCCAGGACCTGAAGCGGTGCTCCTGGGGCCCAAGTAAGGCACTACGTTGGTCTGGGTGAGAAGGATCAGGAAGCAGTATTAGTTCCCCAGTTGTCTGGGGCCCCAAGACTAGGGATGGCGCAGGTCCCAAACTAGGAGTAGCAAACAGCGGGGGAGATGGAAGGGAAATGTGGCTTGGGGAGTCAAGGCGCGGAGGGCTGCGCTATATACTTACCCCAAGAGGCCTAAAGATTGGAGTGCCGATTTTGCAACTTTTTAAGTGATAATTTTCTTATCAACTTTCTGGCACCCTACTTAGATGTTCATTAAATATTTACATAGATTTTAACTTTTTAAACATAAAAAGGGGGCTGTAGAGGTGGCTTAGCAGTTAAGAGCACTGACTGCTCTTGCAGAGGACCCAGGTTTGGTTCCAGTACCCATGTGACAGCTAACAACCGTCTGTAATTCCAGTTACAAGGGATCCAACACCCTCTTCTGGCCTCTGCAGTCATTGAACACACATGGTACACCAACATACATGCAGGCAAAACATATATACACATAAAATAAAAATAATTTAACTTTAAATATATTTAATGATAATGGATTATTCTAGAAATAAAAAGAAATGAGTTTTTCAAGAAATAATCTCATTTGGAACTTTATAATTTTATAAATGATATCAAGTAAATTATACTGACTCCTCATATTATATATTTTACCTCATACAGATTCTTGCTTCAGCATCATCTATATCCATAACCTGTCTTCTATTGCCACTACCCCACCTAATTATCTTATTCTCTTTTGTGTATCTCCTTATCATTTCTAGACTCTTGCTGTGTAGTTCATTGCTTGTCCAAATAAAATCCAAAATCCTTTATAAATTTACTGACTTCTCACATGAACCACTCCAACCTTTCTTTTTAGACCTAAAAGGGTCACAAAGGAACAAAAAGGATATTTCTATCTGTTTCTTTCAGTAGAAAGTCATTCAGCTGAAGTCTAGCATCTGGTTATTGACAGAGCAAGTACTTCTCTCAACTCCTGTAATCATACTTCACCAGTCCCATCTGTATAGAGTGGTTAGAATAAGCCGTTGGGAACCATTGTGAGTCAGTGTCTATAGATCTTGTGTCCATGGAGTAAATTACACAATCTTGTGAGTATAATTTTCAATAGCTGACATGTCTGTATATAAATACTTCCAATTTATATATGTGTTTATATATGTGTTATTTTAATTGATTAGCATAAACATTTCAGTCACTATTAGTATTTCTGCCCCCAAAATGCCAAGCAAGTATAGGTGACTAAGAAATTAGAACACAATATATACTGTAAGCCATTACTTTTAGAAATTTAAGTTGAAGTCATTGAAATTAAATTATGTGAAAGTATACTTATTCATGGATTTTCCTCAATGATAATTAAGAATGTGTTCTTAGGAGTCATCATATGAATTACTTTTGATAGAAAATAAAAATTAGAGGACTACAGATATTATATTCATGCTCGTATTTCATATAATGTACTTGACCTTTTTCAGGGTAAAGAATTGTTCATCCAACATTAAAAAGACAACCGATCTAGAACATTTAACCGCCATACCCAGGACTGTTTCAAGCCCATCAGCTGGAAAGTTGGTATGAAAAACAGTGGTCATGAAGTATGAAATCAAACTTTTGGCTTTATCTTGGGTAGCTTAACTTTTTCTTTGAAGATTCCTGAATTATGGATTCTTTAATATATATATTTTTGTGCAAAATTATGCATTCTTTTGGAAGCTTAAAAATAACAGATAAGGGGCTAGAGAGATGGCTCAGTGGTTAAGAACACTGACTGTTCTTGCAGAAGATGTGGGTTTGAATCCCAGCACCCACGTGGCACCTAACAACTGTCTGTAACTCCAGTTCCAGGGGATCTGGCAGCCTCTTCTGTCCTCCACAGGCATTGCACGACTCGGGTGCACTTACCTACACACAGGCATAACACACACATTAGAAAATAAAAATAATAGTCCTCCCTCTGCTTCGCTGGGCCTGCACGACCCGCAGGCCTCTCTCTGGGGTAAGTCCATCATGCCCTCCTAGCCTTGACTTCCCTAGCCTCATTCACCCTCCCATCTCCCCCGCAGGTCTCTCCTCCTAGTTTGGGCCCTGTCCCATTCCTTGTCTTGTGGCCCCAGGCACCTGGGGAAGCAATACTGCTCCCTGATCCTTTTCATCCAGACCAACATAGTGCCTTCTCTGGGCCCCAGGAACACTGCTTCTGCGCCTGGCCTGGCCCTCACCTCCCTCTGACCTTTTTCTTTTTCAACCTATTAGAGCTGAGATGATGGGCCTGTGGCTCTAAAATCACCTATAATCATGTTTTAGTTAATAAGGAAATAAATAAGGGCTTGAGAGATTGCTCAGCAGTTAAGAACACTGGCTGTTCTTGCAGAAGACTCGGGTTCAAATCCCAGCACACACATGGCAACTAACAACTGTCCATAACTCTAGTTCCA